GACAGGAAGGAAGGAAGGAAGGAAGGAAGGAAGGAAGGAAGGAAGGAAGGAAGGAAGGAAGGAAGGAAGGAAGGAAGGAAAAGAAAGAAAGAACTGAGCCAAGTTTCGCAAATCAGTATTAACTACATGCAGCCTCTGATATTTTATAACTACAATCCTTTCGTGCCTTTTAAAACACTGGTTGGTATCCATTAAATCGGTTTCATGAGCCCACCCTGCAACTGGCTGAAAAAACCCACCCCCCTGTAGATACTTTAGCCATAAATAAAACAGATGAGCCTTTCCCTGTGAGCCTGGCACTGAGTGTGCTGGTGTGTTTATGGGGTGAGGTGTGTGGGTGTGAAAAGCTTGGTGATTCACTGTGGGACCCTGAGACAATCACTCACACTTAGACCTTGTTTTCTCATTTTTCAGAACCAACGGGTTATCTGCTATCTGCTTCAGACGCTGTGCCTTGCGCCTTTCTTATTTAGTTCCCCTTAAGCTCCTTAACCCACAGCTCCCCACCTCTCTGGCGAGCGCGTTAAAGCATTTCTGGCTGCTGCCCCTCACAGCCACTCCTCACCCGGGCGGAGGTGGGCAAGTGGACGTGAGGCAGGTGCCCCCAAAGCAGCTTTCAAGAAATAAAGCCACAGGACATGTAATGAGGCCTCCCGGAATTTTTTTCCAATGCCAGAACATTTTTCCAGACCTAAGAATGCACAGGAAACATTTTCTACTTTCTAGGGGAAAACGCCAGACCGGTTCCTACTTACCCACAAGATGCAAATCCCTCGCTTCTGGCCCAGCCTGGGAGCTTCTCAGAGAAAAAGGAAGAAGTGACCTCTTATCTCGACCCCGTTTCTCAAGGAGCCTGGTGGGTGGAGCAGGCTGGGGTGTTGGCCGGGGAACTTGCAGAACCATTAGGTGGCACGTTACCCGCCCGGCGGACCCTATTAAAGTGCCTCAGAAAATGAACTTGGAAAGGGTGATGGTGTCTAATGGGGGAACCAGGCAACGGAGAGTGGTGCGACCGCCGCCTACACCAAGGAAATGGACTCAGCTTTGGGGACGCTCCCTTAAGTTGGTGAACTTCTTAGTGAGAGACTTGAAAGCCAGAATATAGGAGAGAATCAGCGTAGCCAGCTCCTACCCAGTTCCCTCTTGTCATATCCCATCTCAGCTTACCGCTTTGGGAAGAGAGCATGCCCATATTCTTGGTCTTTGAGTTGGGGTCACCCAACATAATCACACTCACCTACGTGGCTGGTAAAACTTTTGACTGGTCCCATTAGCTTGATGTCCTGCAAATTTCTTCTCCTTTGTATTGGAAGAATCTTTGTAAGATCCAACAAAAGTATGGCCAATGTCCCCAACTTTGACAAGTCCAGATACACACCTGGTGCTTTACTCCTTGTCTGGGTTTTATTACATCTATGAAACATTGCCTTATTATTTGTAACATGAATATCTTCCTTTTTCAGGTTCCCATTTATTTTTATAAAATATTTAAATTATCACCTGGATATAGCTCTCTAGTTGGGCTGGCCCTCAGCCCCTCCATGTCAGACTCAGAATATTTGCTGCTGCGATACTAAAAATGTTTCTTTTGTGGGACCAAGGAAAGACAGTTTAAGCTTATTCTTGTCAGCTGAGCTGAAATGAACATTGTCTGAATGTTAAACTGAAATGCCTGAACCAATAGTCCCTGAAATTCTGAGCCTTCCATGTGTTCACAGCCTAAGTCTGCATGTGACAGATTATTTGCATAAGCAGATGCCAGAATGCCCCTTCTCCATGTGCAGTCCTCCCATGCTGACTCTAAACCTGGCCACACGGCTGGCTTTGGCCAAAGAAACAGCTAACAGAATGCAAGCAGAGATATGGAAAGTGCTTGCACATTGGGGCTTGCCCTCTTTTGCTGCACTTGAAACCCTGAGATCACTATGTGAATGAGCCTAAGCTAACCATCTGGAAGAGAAACAAGTCTCACTAGTCAATAATCCAGCACTCTGGTTGCCAAGCC